CCCGCCAAAGAAGAGGAGCATACAAGTTCTTCAAACGTTTTCGTTTGCGTTTCATCTCCAGTGGACTTTGTTGCCGCCATCCTCTGCAACCGTCTTACCTTTTTTCATTTAGGTTATTCGTAATTGTAACGAGAAATTCTTTGTCTTGAAAGCACCTGTCCAACTCCGATCACTTTCTTTCTTTTTTCCATCGAAAATATACGAATACACCGTCTGTGGTGCTAAAAAAGGGGAAATTTGGTCCATGAATTCTCCCTATGCCTCAGGTATCAAAGACCATAAAGACATCTGTTAGCACCCTATTTTATAGCTGCCTGAAACGATAAAATTAACCTATATCTCATTCAAAAGCGTCGTAAGCGCTTCCTTATCTTAGTGTTAGGATAATAAATGGAAATAATATGATATAATTAAAAGCCATTCAGTAAAAACACAATAACTTGTTGATTACCTCCTACTTGTCTGGCAGTCTTATTAGACAACTAGGGTAATTTTTATCTTTTCTAAATGTGAGAAAATAGACTATTTGATTAATCAAAACATTTGTATCAGGTTGCTATTGATTTTAATTAAGTTCCATACTCTCCTATCGTGAGTTTTACATGAAAACAGATGTCTAGTTTTTACGATAATTAGAACTTGAAGTAAAATATTTCAATGATCTTGCAGTAAGCTGTATTTCCATCATGTTAATCCACTTGATGAAGATGCATGATATTAAGTTGCTCTCGTCAAATTTGTTATTAAAACAAGAATTTCCTGAAAATTCCCCTTCCATATTTTCGATTCCCCCTTAGGCTCGTTTCTATGTTAATTTCATGTCGAATTCCCGATAAGGAAAACAATTCTTCATTTCAATTTAGCACGTTCAACACCTCTTTCATTCAAGATGAATATAAAAGTAAACGACTGACACTTTTCATCCTTCGCACTGAATTTATAATCAGGTTATACATAGCTTGTTGTGTAGTCAACGTCTCTATCGTATCCACAAAGACTTTAGAGTTCTTAAACTAATGTCATGGAAAAGGCAGCAAAGAGAGGCTGGCTAACAAGACCAACCAACAGATCAGATGTTGCTAGAAAACGGTACAAGAGTTTGGACGGCGGATTAAGGAAAGATTTCTTATAAAAGGCAACAAGGATAAAAGAATTCCCATGAAATTTTGATAAAGAGAGGAAAATGGTGACTACTGACAATTAGAATTGTTTTTTGTAACTTAGTTACATATCATGGGAAACATATCAATATTTCAAACGGTTTCGTTTCTATTCTTTCGTTTAGAAAGCTCCCAACCCGTTGTAATCACTTACACCTTAATTTTGTAATAGGATTCACATGACCTGATATACTTAATAACGTTTGCCATTCTGAAAATCGAGCAAAAGCCCTATATTTTGTGAAAAAAATAATCTCATTCTCGAATTTTGTGGCAGCTGTTCCTTGCAGTTATCATCAGCCATGAAAGCACCCAATTTCTAAGTGATCAGCAATTGTTTAGCCTTTTGTTTTGGCTATATGGAGCGAAATTCCCTTAATTGGTGTAACCTGTTAGCATTTATTTTACTCTAATAAAATAATTAGTGATCTCAAATTAATGACCGTTAGCCTTCTGAAATGTTCTTTTCTTTTTTTGAAAAGAGTATAATCACCCTCTAGGCCAGAAATTAAATATTTCTTTCGGCAAATTAATAGCCTGTTACACAGATGAAAACAGGAAGTTTATCAGAATTTATTTGCTCTCCTCGGATAAATTTGATTCTAACAAACATTTGAGTGTTAAAAGAGAAACACTGATATTTACCTTTTTGTGAAAAGTTGATTCAGTGTAGAAATGTTATTCAGGAGAGTCATGTTTCTTTAAACAGAGCTCGAGAGACAATCAGTATAAATGCCAGGAAATATTCTTCGTCATTTCGCAACTCAGAAAACAGGCATTTGGTTTTTTCATGCATGGTTTTCGTAACTATATGTAACGAGAGATATTTTTTTATGACAGCACCAGCCTTGCCAGGACGACTTTATACTCACTATCTGTGATAACATTTTCACATAAACTTTCACAGTATGGCTAAGCTATTCAAAATGCAAATGCAAACTGCCTATTCAGTCAAAAAATATAGCAATTTTCCCAGCAGGAGCTCTGGAGGATAATAGGCTTAGATCATCACTCTTTATCAATTTCGAAGGAACAGATGATTCTTTGAAACTGTTAGAGAATCATCTAAAATTATTATTTAATCGAGATGGTTTCACCTCTGTATTCTAAGAGGTCCTTGAATATCGCTGAAGTTAATTTAACATTATTTACGACACAATATTCCCTTTCCCGGGGAAAATTTTCGACTGCTAATTCTTTCTGGTAGTTCGGCGAGACAGGAGTTTTTTCACTGAATTAGCTGTGCGTAAGGCCATGTATTTGGGTAAAGTTTCATTTAATAAATGAATTGGCATTAACAGGTAAAATGATAGAGGTTTTGATTTAAGTATATCACAATGGAAAAAAAACTGCCTCAAATATGGAATTCCTGGCTTTAAAATAATAAAAGTTCCATTGCAAATATAGTTTTTGACTCAAGACCTCCAGGTTTATCGTCAGCCTTGGGAAACTGCTTTGTTTAAAGTGAATCGCTAATCTTATCAGTCTGAAAAAAATTTAGTTACAAACTGTAAACTATTCAGATCAAAGGTGTAGGCAGTGGTGCCAAGTGATTTGATAACAATGTTTTAGTTTCAGTGAGAAACCCCGATATTTTCAAGACGCTTCGCTTCCGACTAAGATTGAATGCGAGGAAATTACTCGATAGACACAAAATATAACGCCACCAACAGTGTTATGTGAAATACCATTGATCCATCTTGCAGTTTGTGAATACTTAGAATGAAAAACAAAGCCAGCCAGAAGGTTAGCCTGGATGGCATTCCGCGTAAGAAGCAACCTCAAATATATATTCATCTCTTTAGCTGAGAAGGACTCCCAAGATATCTCAAAGGTTTATTTTAATACACCTTGGTGTTACAAATATTTCTTTTCGCGGAAAAAAATGCTTTCTGCATTGTTTCTGACTATTTACATGGGCAGGGGTTTTTATTTTAAAACCACTCAAACGAGTTTATCTAATTGATTAAGCTTAATTTACCTACAAGTTCTTCGAAAACATAATGGAGAGTTCCCTATCATGACAAAAATCCACAATCCCTTACAGAACGTCTCTTACTGTAAGTCAGTGCAAAATGTTTTGTATCTCAGCCGCAATAGCAGAGCGATAAGTCTGTCCACGCTAATGGCCGTCATTGTCAATAAAGAAACTACGCATAATGTATAGCTTGCTATTACGACTACTTTAGATACGTATCGAGAAAGATTCCACTGTCGGTGAACTAGGGACATCCAATAAGTAGCGGTGAGAGGCTGGCTAACAAGACCAACCAATAGATCAGTTGTTGCCAGACAACGATACAAGAGTTTGGATGGCGGATGAAGGGAAGATTCCTTATGAAGAGCAGCAAGAATAGGAGAATTCCCAAGAAATGCTGTGATGAACAAGAAAATGTTGACTGCTGATAAATATATTGATTGCTGCTTTAACAACGCAGTTTAATGAACAGTGGTCCACCTTCCTGGCTTTACTGCAGCAAGACATGTTTGTCTTATCAGCACCTGCTAAGCTTTACTTTCCTAAATAGATTGACATAACGAACTCTCAGTAGCATTAACTATTCCAACAGTGCTTGTACAGCTGTTAATCGTGTCGTAGAGGTGTCAAATGTTCGCAGTGGATTTAGCTGGTGTATCGTTTCTTAATCAGACGAACCAAACCAAAAGGGGAAACGATTGTTTTAAAAACTGGCAATTGTATGCAGTTCTTCACTTTCTGCCAACAAAACGCAAGAAGAAATTAATAACTGAAGACGAAGACCCCTAGAAGTCTGACATTTCTTTAGGCCTTTTCCAGTGACACTGAAAGGCACTTAACGTTCATTTTAGCCGGAACATATTTTTTGGCTGGTCCAGTTCATTATCTCTTAAAACCCTCTTTCCTATTCTTATCCCAAAAAGAAATCCTTAGTGGCGTTTACCGTTTAAAATGCGTGGGCAAAGTACACGTGTGTCGCGTAAATTCGGAACAAACAAAAAGACTTGTCTTTAAAATTTTTCGGCATTGTTTGCCTTAGGTATGATTTTGCTGTAAGTGAAAAGTAAAGAGACATCTGTAAAATGCTTATTTTATATTGTTGCTAAAAAAACCCTTTCCTCTCTATCATGCAATAGAACGTCTATTTTTGTTTGTGAGATCTTTGGTACGTCTTGAGGCTTTTTCAAGCCAAGATCAAGCCAAGACGTAAATCGTTCGAGGAGAAAGTTGAAACGGTGGCAGTCTATAGATAGAAATACATATGCATTCATATATACAAAATTAAATGTAAGTTTTGATTTGCATTTGGATAAAAACGTTGAAAGACATCTGCAACATTATCATTTTGCAGTATGACCCAGCTAAACCTCACTCTGGTAAATTAGAAAGATATTCAAACACCGTAAATACCGTGACCGAATTTTTAAGATACTTTTAAGGAACTTCCCAGCATTTTTTCTCCATGATTTCCATCGAACCACAATTCAGATGTAAAAAAAAAAAAAAAGGAAGCAATAAACCAACCAAACCACCTTTATAAAATCTCACAATTTCTTCGTTAAATCTTTAATATCATTTTTGATAAGGAAAAAAACGATCCATCTTAACTCAGGAAAACGTTCGCTGATAAGTTAATGATTAAGTGTCACTTTCAACTCTCTGAATTTACCCCGACAAACTCAAAATTTAAAGTTCAACCCCGCGGTGTACTTGATTCGAACAAAGTAACAATAATAAATAACTTCGTCACAACCTCCCAATACATAAATCTATTCAAACTCAATATTTTGTCGTGGATGTCAACTTATTTCAAAATAAGATATTTTGGTTTTATCAACTGAGTTAATAATGTAAATTGGCCACCGTAAAGAGTTTCTACGCTGATGTTTGAGTGTTAGCCCTGGTCAGAGCGAATGGTGGAATTATGGGTCGTGCGTGTGTTTAAATGCAGAAAATGGATTACGCTATTGGTGGGAATATGGTAACGAGAAAAACAAGAATAAATTAGTTGAACGGAAAGCGTTTGTTGGTATCGTGGGGATTACCTGTTCGGATAGCTGCTTTCCAAACAACGTCTGCAAAATTCTATGACAAAAATTCATCTTTTAAATCGGCGCTTTTAATTGTTATGTTCCCCCACCGTCGCAGCATAAAGGTTGCTTTAGAAACGTACCCCCTTCATTTAGAAATTATTCAGTTTAACATTATAATGAAAAAAAGGTCACAGCTATTTTTCTCAGTTTCGTCTCCAAATGGAATTAGAGACGAAACAAGGTATACCGCTAACAAATCATCTTCTGCAATTTATTTTTCGCTCTTAACTTTCTCTCTTCCTTTCGCTTGCAAATTCATGGAAATTGTCTTGGATAATAACAAACCAAAGTCGGCCTGTTAACCCTAAATCCAACTTCTTTTGGTAGCAAGCAAGCTTTCAGGTATACAGCAGGTGATTTGACTTCTTCTCGCAGCGATTATTTTTTGCGATCAACGATTATCCTTTGATCACAGATTAAAGTTGCACTCGAGTAATAAAGTAAACAAACTCATTCATAAATCGAGATCGGAGATGAAGGGATGGATAGTGAAAAAAAAAAAAAACCATTAACGCTCGATTTACAATTTTTTCTCTTTGTTTTATTATTCGGGAACCTATAGTTACTCTCGGCTAGGGGTAGAGCAAGTCTTACACATCTTTTCTGCTTACTAAATCTCTCGCATACTTCATATCTTAACGACCACACGCTGAGGCAGGAACCAATAAAAAAAACTTACACTTTCAAAAATGAAGACAAATCAACTCGACTAGACAATATCGGCTTCGTTTTTAATCTGGGATGTTATCAAAAACTTAATTATTCATTTCATTTTCGCAACATGCCACCTCTAAATCTTTCATTTCAATCCATCATTTTTCTTTCACAGACAAAGATGCATCATCCCTTCGCTTCTTGTATAAGGATTCTTTGCCGGAAATTTAATTTCTGATGCTTTTTTATGATAATTTTTCAGCACAAAGACTGCAGCTTTGGAGCTAACAGTAGCATATTGGTCGTAGTCAGCTATTTATTCCTGTACATAAAATTTAATCTAACTTTAATGAAAATTTTTTCTTTGGCAAACAAAGACGACATTGGTCATATTATTGTTTGGTAATACAACAAGGAAACACCCCTTTATTAATTTATTGAAATGACGAAAAAAGGAATATATTTAAATATGCTTTCATTTTCTACTGAGGGCTGACAATTATGTGGAAATACACGCCCTGTATTGCGATCAACTCTAAACTCTTGTTTTAAATCAAAACGACTCAAAAGAGAGAGCAAATCAAATTTAGGGATGGAAAATCGCTCGGCAATGGTAGACGTAGAATCAAGACAACTTGACGAAAAATCAAAGATGAACCAGTAAATAACATGAAAAATAAAACATGGAGAATAAACATTATGACTCGTTGTATTTATGATAGAGTGTGATAAGGTTGGTATTTCCATTTCCTTTCCTTCAGTTTTCCACGTGCAAAAAAAGCCGACTTCGTACAAACCTTGAGGCAACAATTTTATTGTGCTTTTTATTTTTTTCCTATCCATTCATATATCTGACTAGAGTTCTTAAGTAGTGTTTGCGACTGAATAACTATGTGCTTAGAATGTATTAACACGAGCATAATTCGGGGAGGATCTCACTTTATGGACAGCCAAATCCTTGTCTGATCGTTTGCTTTACTGCTTGTCTCACTTCACTTATTTTCCAACAGTACAGAAACGGATTTAACGTTGAGTTAAAGTGAACTACTGTAGATGCTACACCCCTCATGATGACTAAGTGCGATGGATAAGTTTTTCTTTGTCTGATCAGAATTTCCAGTAAACCATACGGCAAATAACAAGCAACTAGTGCCAACTGAACCCACAGTGCACTGTATAATGCTTTTTTGTATTGCGTGGTATTCACTGCATTTGGTTGACTCGGCTGCTGTTGAACATGATCTTGTATTCGTGTATGATGATGACTTAGAGCACAAAATATTTTTGTGTACGACACAATTGAGATAACGTAACATAATAGTATAACTATAGTACCATACCAAATGGATATGCGGTAATCAAACGTGTAACATAAAGCAGCGACACTGGATAGAACCCAAAAGGTAACTACGATGATATATGTGCGCTTCAAAGTTACAATTTGTCTGTATCTCAGCCGCAACAACAGGGCGAGAAGTCTATCCACGCTTATGGCCGCTATTGTCAACAAAGACACTCCACATAATACGTAGCTTGTGATAAAAGTCGCGGTA